CCACATCAGGTGAAAAGACTAGATCAGAACATAGTTCTGTCCATAACTGATGTGGAAATCACACCAGAACAAGGGCAACATGCTTTCTTCTAGTGAGTCAAACCCAAGGCCCCCTGTACAAACAGCTACACATCTATCCTGCTACCACCCTGGATCAGAGAGGATACTCCTACATAGTAGGAGCAGTGCTAATACCTATAGAATATCTTCATACCTAAGGTAGTGCTGTCCAATAAAAATATCATGAGATATACAGATTTAATTTAAAATTTTCTGGTAGCACTTAAACAAAAGAAAAAGAAACTGATGGAATCAGTTTTAATATCATATTTTATTTAACTCAATATATCCAAAACACTATCATTTTAGTATCTAAACCAATATTTAAAACATTATTAGTGAGACACTCTGCTTTTGCTTTTCATACTAAGTCTTCAAAATCAGGTATTTTATAGCTGTGGCACATCTCAGTTCGACCGGTCACACTTCAGATACTCAATAGCAAAATATGGCTAGTGACTACTATATAAAACAGCGTGGATCTGGAATGTTTTACGTGGTAACTGCAATTTACGGTTGAAAGTGTAATTTATAATTAAAATTAAATGTAATTTAATTTACATGATAAATGAAAGGCTCAATAGGTTTTTTACCATTTATTCTCCCAATACCCCAATAAAGTAACTAAGAGATATTAGTTCCATGGATAGCAAATAAAGTCTTCTGAAGAAAAGGAAGCTGACTCATTTATCCCAAATCAAACCATGAAAAGACTCGGAGAAAATTTCTGGTCATCTTGAAGCCCAGAACTTGCTACTAAAGACCAAAACTTCTCTGCATATGTATTTATAAAACAACATAGTGCCTATCAGGCTCCTCTCATTAAAAACTTATAAATATTTAATGCTATATGTTAACTATACTGGAATTAAAATAAAAAACTTAATTAAAAAAAAAACCATGGCAAATTCACAAATCTCCTTTATTTCAAATTGATACCTAGTTTCTTCAGCTATATAATCCCATCCATTCTTTTTCAGATACCTGGCAACTTCACTTCCTCTCCTAGTAGACTAACTCCAACCCTTCTTTTTCTATTGTGTCAAAAGCCAGACCAAACAGTTCATGCTTCAACTCTATAGCTGCAAATTTGTAGAGGGAAGTCTGAACAAAGTTGCAATAAGGCTCTTGGGTATAGTGAAAAAATCTCCAAAGTGAATATAAAACATTCATTCAATATTGACTTCTAATTTCAAAGTAACCAGGAAAATTTCTAAAATGGAAAGAAAAATAAAGAATAAATCACCACATCCTAGAATAATAAAATTATAAATTGAACATTGTTTATTAAAAAGATTCAAAATTCTTTTATTTTATTTTATTTTATGATTATTTATTTATTTATTTGAGAGAGAGAGAGAGAAAGAGAGAGGGCACAAGCAAGGGGAGTGTTAGGCAGAGGGAGAGGAAGAAGCAGGCTCCCTGCTGAGCAAGGAGCCCAATGTGGGACTCGATCCCAGGACCCCAGGCTCATGATCTGAGCCGAAGGCAGTCGCTTAACCAACTGAGCCACCCAGGCGCCCAAGATTCAAAATTCTTAAAAAATAAAAAATAAAAAAGGACAATCCACAGAGTCAATTTGTATAGAAAAAGACCACAGATTTGAGCACAGACTTGGGGTTCAACAAGGCTAGATTCAAACCCTAACCCAACCACTATGTGCCTTGAGTAAACTGTTTAACCCTTCTGTATATCCATCACCATCTGTAAAAAGGGTATTTAATAATCTCTACCGTTAATACAGTTATCACAAAGATTACACAAAATAAAACATTGTAATTAGCACAGTATTTGGTTACTAACAAACATTAGTTAACTCCCATCCCCTAGCCCCATTCATTTCTTTAATTTGCATAAAGCAGAAAATACTAATCTGAATTTATAGCTCTGATATCAATAGAAATAGGAACCCTATGACTCCCAATTTTTTCTCTGTTCTTTTCAGAATGAGGTGAGGGCTGGGAGGGTGAACAGTTCGGCTGTATGCTATTGAGAACAAAGGTGCGTAGAGAGCTGTAGTAACTGGTATCACCAGCAACAGTTCAGTCATCCTGTAACTCGTTATTTCCCTCACCTCAACCATATATAATAATGCCAATATTACCATGGCAAGCATTATCACTGAGGAATGTACAGTGTAGTAAGGGAACCAGAGGAGAATACCTAGCTCAGCCTGGAGAGAGGTCACGGAAAGTTCCCTGAAGGAGGCAGCCACTTGACCTGAGCCAGGCAGGCAAAACTGGTGAGGACAACAGGGAGAGGAGTAGAGAAGGGAAATCTGTGGAAGAGGAATGTTGTGAGTGAAGACACAGGATGCAGTAGATACAGGAGAACTGGAAGCAGTTCTTATTGCTGTTGGATGCATGAGAAGACTGGATAAGTAAACAGGGTTGAGACTAGGAAGGAATTCATATAGCAAAGATCTCAGACATGATCCTGTTACTTATGGGGATAGCAAAAAACAAGGCTGCCACTGGACATCAAAGAATCGGCATGAGTGAAAAAGAGGAAGGAAACCTGTGGTGGGAAACCAAAGACTGAGAGTCACTTTTTTTTTTTTTTAAAGATTTTATTTATTTATTTGACAGAGAGACACAGCGAGAGAGGGAACACGAGCAGGGGGAGTGAGAGAGGGAGAAGCAGGCTTCCTGCTGATCAGGGAGCCCAATACGGGGCTTGATCCCAGGACCCTGGGATCATGACCTGAGCCGAAGGCAGACGTTTGACAACTGAGCCACCCAGGTACCCTTGAGAGTCACTTTAAATGACAGAAGATCAAAAGAAATAAATATTGTCACATTGAACTTATTCAGAAATCTGCCATCCTTTATAGAAAATATAAAAACACATGGAGAAAGAAACATGTTATAAGGACTTTCATAAAAAGAGGTACTTATTAAACATCCTGGGGTAAGAAATTTTGATAAAATATCATTTCCCTGGGAGAGCTTCCCCAAGAATGCACCTTCCTAATTAGTATCAAGGCAGAAAACAGAGTATAGCAGCAAGGAAAACTCAGCAGTGAAATCACAGTATCATTTAATCTTCATTGGCATCAGAAGCCTTAGTACCATATACAACAAAGGAGAGATTAGGATGGGGTCAAGTTCCTAACAAGCACCTCATCCTGTCCAATACTGCTGTAAAGATCATTAAAAAGAGAAAAATTTAAATCTTTCCAGTTATTACTGTCATGTAATGAACTTCACAGTAATTTTTTTGAGTTGAAAAGAAAAATGGCCTCTGAAAAAAATCTACCAGAGAAACAGCAAAAGCTAAAGAGAAGAGATAATATGACAGAAAGTGCAGAGTGTTGGGAGTGAAGTCCTAGGATCAAGACACCAAGAAGAAATTCTAGGGAAGTCCAATTCTAGGGAAACCCAGTGGAAAAGTATAAAAAAGGACAGCTTGGAGATTAAAATAAAAAATGTGTGCCCTTCCAGGAAATCATGTTACTAAAGTTTTAAACCCTTTTAATCTTTTTCTATTCATAGTGTACAGGTCTAAAGAGTACTCTAAATAATTAGCTCCTACAGATAAGGGAAAGTAATTTGGAGATTCTAAAGAATACCAGATAGTAATGGCAGCAATCCAACATCAAGGCTTCTTTGCTGGGCAAAATTTCTCACTGGTGCTGAAGTTTCTTCCTTATTTTTTTTTTAAAGATTTTATTTATTTGAGAGCGAGAGTACGCATGCAAGAGCACAAGCAGTGGAGAGGGAGAAGCAGGCTGCCCATTGGGCAGGGAGCCCGATGCGGGGCTCAATCCCAGGACCCTGAGATCATGACCTGAGCCAAGGCAGCCACTTAACCGACTGAGCCACCCAGGCGCCCCTGAAGTTTCTTCCTTATAACATTAACTTATTCTTGGATTTCCACATTAAATCAAGTTCTCTCAAAAAAGCTTAGTTCTTAGTCACTTAATCAGTTCTTAATTGTTTCCACTTTCAGTTAGATAAATAGATATAAACAGAAATTAGAACCAAATGTCTGCATAAAATCACTTAACTTTCAAAAATAAGTGGAAAATCTGCCTAAGACAACATCAGACACTTCAAAAGGTTGTAAAATTAAGCAAGACTAATGTCTGAGGCTGAAAAATCTATTGTCCTATGTGCAAAAAGGGATACAAAAAAGGAAAAAAATAGAAATGTAGATGGATGTCATAAAAATAATATCAAGGGTGCCTGCCCAACCCTTTGCATAATTAGAGGACATGGCAATAAGATGAGATAGATTTCTGTCCATGAATAAGCTCTGAACTCCTGTAGTGTATATAACTTATATTTTTACTTTTTAGTTGGAAGAAGAGTATTTTAATAGCCTTTCATATAATTATGATTATTCTTTGATACTATACCAAAACTTAACAAGTTGCAGTTTCTTTTTTTTCTAGCTTTACTGAGATATTTTTGACATATAACATTGTATAAGTTTAAAGTATACAATGTAAAAAAATAAAGTATACAATGTGATGATTTGATATATGTTTATAGTGTGTGTAGCAAAATGATTACCACGTAAGATTAGTGAACACATCAATTATTTCACATAGTACCTATTTTTTTTTAAGTGTGGTGAGAACATTTATATTTTCATGGTTAACTATGTTCTTTTCCTCTCAAATATGTATTAAGTATCTGCTATATCCTAAGGCAATGTGCTGCTTTTCCCAGACCTCAGAGTCTGTCAGTAATGCTTTTCTCTCGTATCTGCCATAGCACCTTAGCATGGTGCTGAGGTACTGAGTTCAGAGCAGTGGCCCAATAAATACCTATGAAATATTTTTCTTTAAATGAGCATAGGAGAACATATGGGGTTAGCACTATACCCAATGATGTAGCACAGAGACCCTTGTAAAAGGTGCCCACTTCAGTAACAGCCTTCCTCTGGTTACCAATCCATGTCCCATTCTGACTGATTTACCACAGTGTGCATACCTGTCCACTGAGGGGGGCAGCGGCAGTTGTAAGTGTTAACCCCATCCACACAAACCCCTCCATTCTGACACTTGTGGTTAGGGCAGTCATCAATATTCCGCTCACAGGTGACCCCTTCAAAACCTGGATAGAGAAGAACAGAGAAAATAATGAATTCTCATGCAGATGTAAATCATCAGCTCTTCTACAGAACATGGTCATCAGAACAGACCTACTTCATTATTTCATTTCAGGAGCTAGCAGCTGGTTAACCCAGGACTCACCATACAAAAAATTGCCCAATCTTCTGTCTTCTCTTGCCTCAAGAGAAGCTAGACAGTTAGAGTGACTCATGATGCCAATGACATGCCTTCGCAGTTACCTCACAAGTATTTCAAAGTGTTTTTATGAAATAAAATCCCAGTGAAGATAAATGTCTACTTAGATAACTATTCACTGGTTCTTAAAAAAGGTGGGGGGGGGATATTAGATTTTCCCCAGCTCCATGCTAGATTAATGGGAAGAATAGATAAAAGATCACCTAATTAAATTTAAATTCATTTACTTTCTTCTTAGGATGTTTGCTTGGGAAAACTAGGTTGGGGTGGGAAATAAAAGAAAAATATTGAGCTCACAGTCTGAAGATATGGGTCAAGTTCCAACCTCACTACCTATAAGCTATTTAACACAGGATAAATTACAAACTCTGCATTAGCTTCCTCATCTGTAAAATGAGGCGGATTCCACCTGCCCAACGTGCCTTTCTAGTGCCATATCATGAGTAAAGTACATTATAAACATAAAAAGCTATCTGAAAATGGGGTGGCATTATTATTAATTAAACTTACCAACCCTTCAAGTTCTTCATCCTTCTCTCCACATTTATGGCATTACTTCCTTCCTCTTGATTTTCCCTTTTATGAAAAATGAAACCAACACACCAAACTTCACCCTAACTGCCCACGGTGTGTTTCTCTGTAATTTATATATTGAGCTTTTTCCTTTCTCCTTGGCTACCAAATCCCTTAGCTATTAAAATAAAAGACTACCAGCTTTAAAACTGAATTTTTTTTTTTTAAAGATTTTATTTATTTATTTGACAGAGAGAGACACAGCGAGAGCAGGAACACAAGCAGGTGGAGTGGAGAGGGAGAAGCAGGCTTCCCGCGGAGCAGGGAGCCCGATGCGGGGCTCGATCCCAGGACCCCGGGATCATGACCTGAGCCGAAGGCAGACGCTTAATGACTAAGCCACCCAGGCGCCCCTAAAACTGAATTTTCAACTGATCATTCTATTTGAAATATAGTATGACTAAGTATTTGGTCTCTTCAAAATGTCCCTAAGGTTCTTCTTCTCTCACTCAAAACGCTTACCAGGTCTTATACTAGGCACTGGGGATGTAACTGTGAGTAAAAAAGACAGAATGTCCCTGCTTTTGGGGTATTTACAGTCTGGTGAGTGGGACAGACAGCAATCACACCTTGCTTTATTCACTCCTACCACAAGCCCCTGTGGTATTCTACAGCTGCTTTGTTACACTGCAACATGGCTGGTTTCTCTGAATAAAGCGGCAGTCATGTAAATGGGTATAAACCAAGTGGCAAAAAAAAATTACTGACACCAAAGGAAATCACTTCACAGAAGATGGGGATAATTGAAAGCTTGCCTAAGGAGAATTCTATTTCTCTGGGCATTTGGTATTCAGTCCATTCAAGCAGATGAATCATTAAGTAAGCTTGAGAAAGACTGTGAGAATTTTTATAGACTCAGATTTTTAAAAATTTACCGTATTACTCATATATCTGTTTAATTGTATGAAAGTCTTACAAATGAACTGACTCAGAAAATTCTGGTTTAAGCCCACCCATAATTAAGATAAAGTAAGGGCAAATCTACAGATCCACTGAGTAGCAGTGTCTGAACAAGAACTGAGGTCTTTGCTCCTACTCCAGTGCTCTTAATGGAAACATTCCTTAGAAGAGTTAAAGATAGAGTTTTAGAGTGTGGGAGGGAAATAGGGCTGCTGGCTCACCACTGCTGGAACCTGTGTGGTCTAGTGGTATTCTGGAACTGGTAACTTGATCTCTCTGGTGACTAAGACTAATATGGTTGACTACAGTGTCAGGGAGGTGATAAAGCCCTGGTAGCCAAACTATTAGGAATTGAAACTGTGACCCTAAATTTATATCAGCCAATGCTACAACTAACTGAATTCACCAACCACAGACAGATTAAGAAAGCAGAAGCATTTCAGCATAACCACAACTATAAGAAATAAAATGTTTTCTTTTTATCACTGACTGACTATTTTCAAGGTAGTTCTTCCCTGTCAAAGGTAAGTAGGTAAGAAGGCAAGTTGCTAAGAGTTAATTCATGATTAAAGCATGGCCTCTGGGACCTAGGTTCAACTTTTAACCTTCCCATGCAATAGGTGAGTGAACAGGGGCAAGATACTGCAACTTTCTTTCCTCTCTGGGGGGAATAAACAGGGTCTACCACAAAGGGTTACTATAAAGAATAAATTAGTTAGATACACAGAGCACTTAATTCAGTAAAGGGTGCTGGGACAATTGAACATCTACAGGCAAAAGAATAAATTGGACCTCTTTCCCATACCATAACAAAAATTAACTTAAAATCTGGGGCTCCTGGGTGGCTCAGTGGGTTGAGCGGCTGCCTTCGGCTCAGGTCATGATCCCAGAGTCCCGGGATCGAGTCCCACGTTGGGCTCCCAGCTCAGCGGGGAGCCTGCTTCTCCCTCTGACCCTCTCCCCTCTCATACTGTTTCTCTCTCTCTCTCAAATAAATAAATAACTAAAATCTTAAAAATAAAATAAAATAACTTAAAATCTAAGAGTTAAAATTATAAGACTCTTGTAAGAAAAGATAGGAGTGAATCTTTGTGACTTGGGCTAGGCAAAGCTTTCATAAATATGAACAAAAGCACAAGCAACAAGACAAAAATTAGAAAGTTTGGACTTCATCGAAATTAAAAACATTTGGCCTTCAAAAGATACCATCAAGAAAGTGAAAAGACAGCCCACGGGATGAGAGAAAATATTTGTAAATCATTTATCTGATAAGAGACTTGTATGCAGGACATATAAAGAACTCTTACAGCAATAATAAAAATACAGTATAAATAATATAATAATAAAAAGGCAAATAGCCCATTATAGAATGGGTAAAGGACTTGAACAGACATTTCTCCAAAGATGATATACAAATGGCCGTAAGCACATGAAAAGATGCTCAACATCATTAGCTATCACACGGAAATGCCCATCAAAACCACAATGAGATGTCGCCTCACACCAACTAGGATGGCCATAAAAAAAACAGACAATAATAAGTGTTGGTGAGGATGTGGAGGAATCGGAACTCTCCTTTACTGCTGGCTGAAATGTAAAATAGTACAGCCACTTTGGAACAATCTGGCAGTTCCTGAAAAGGTTAAACAGAGTTACCATATCACCCAGAAAGACCCCTCTGAAATATGGACCCAAGAGAAATGAAATACATGTCCACACAAAAACTTGCATAAGAATGTTCACAGTGGCATTATTCATAATAGCCAGAAAAGCAGAAGCAGCCCAAACGTCAATTAACTGATGAATGGATAAATAAAATGTGGTGAGCACTGAGTAACGTATAGGATTGTTGAATCAATGTTTTACATATGAAACTAATATAACATTATATGTTAATTATACTTCAACTTTTAAAAAGTAGGGGGAAAATGTGGTAAATCTACAATGGAATATTATTCAGCCATGAAAGGAAGGAAGCACTGATACCTCCTATAATATGAATGAACTTCAAAAACATTAGGTGAAAGAAGCCAATCACAAATGACCACATATGTTTCCATTTATATGAAATGTCCAGAGCAGGCAAATCTATAGGGACAGAAAGTAGATTAGTAGTTGCCTGGTGCTGGGAGAGAATTAGGGACCAAGGCAATGTGACTGTTGATGGTACAGGGTTCCTTCTGGAGTGATAAAAATGTTCTAAAATTGATTGTGGTGATGATTACACGTACCTGTGAATACCATGAAAACCACTGAATTGTACACTTTAAAGAGCAAATGATATGGTATGCAAATTATATCTCAATAAAGCTATTATATTAGGGGGGAATGCACTTAAAACAGTCCCTGATGCATGACAAGTGATCCATACATATAAGCTAATACTATTATATATGAATAGAATCAAAACAGCCCTTAGAGATTATCTACTCTGATCCTTTTATGTTATAGATGAAGAAGTTGAGGGCCATATGGCTGACTTATCCAAGTTTACATGGCCAGTAGGCAGGAGTCAGTACTGAACCAGTTTCAATCAGTATGCTGTCTGGGACCCCAGAGTTCCCTTGCAAAAATCTGAAAAACTAACCTAAGGTTAAAAGTCCCCATGTCTGAGAAAACTCAAGCCAAATCAGTTCTCCTCCAGAGTTAAGACAGGATTTATGCTTTAAAAATAGAGATACAGACCTCTTTTAGGAAATAGCTAGCAAATTCTTGTAAGAAAGTCCACCCAAGGAGGGGAGGTGGTGGTAAGGCTTATATGAATAAGTTACAGTGCAATCACTTCATAAAAATGTATTTTAAGGTTCTAGGGGAAAGGGAAACAGACAAGTCTCCAGACCTGTGGGTGGGATGGATGTAGCAGATTTACAAAGAGGTTCACATGACCGTACTAAAAGGAGTCTACTGCTTAAAGCCAACTCACATCCTTAAAAGGCCAAAAGGAGAGAAATTAAACTTAGAAGGAACATTTTAAGACTGTGCTGTTATAAAACCATGGCCCACGTAACTGATAAATGATGACAGTGAGGGTGGGGAGCAGAAAAGAATCTTTTGAACTTGTCATCCCACACAGAGAAGAGCATCTCTCAAGAAAGCATCCATATCTTTCCATTTTCACATGCTGGGATGTGTGAGGGTGGAAAGGCTTGTGGAGAGATACAAAGAAGAGAGCAGAAAGAGGAAGATGAGATGACATAACTAGGATTCTCTCAAACCAGGCTAAAAGTCCTCCGGAAGAGCTTCAGTCTGCAGGGATGAAAGAGTGAGGAAAAAACCAGGAATATCTGAAACTGGACAAAGGCAAAAAAGAGCTACAAGTCTACTTTCTTCCCC